TAAAAATACTTGAGTTATACTTATCTTATAAGTTTCTCTAAAAACTTATCTTGATATTCTGTTTTAATTATCTCTTCTATCATAATAAATTATATTTTGATTAAAAAGATTCTTGATAGCTTTCCTATATGCAAAAGCTTGGATTTGACATTTATTATCTCTATTTAGAAAAGGTTTGGTAAGCTTTTCTACATGCAAAAGCTTTGTTTGATATTTGTTACCATTATTTTATTTGATATTAATTATCTTAGTTTTATTTATATTTATTGTAATTATTTTAGCATTTATTGCTAGTTTTTAAGCATTTGTTGCTTAGTTTTAGTATCATCTCTTAGTTTAATATTTGTGATCACAACTTTATTTTTATAATTTCATTTTATTTCATTTTTTTAGCCTTGTATTGATATAATACTTGTAAGTATTAGTACTAAAAATCTTTAGAATAATAATAATTTCCTTTACCTTTATAAATTAATTCAGTTTTCACTTTCAAAACTTATTATAAATTATATTCGTGATAAAATCTATCTTCCAGAGTATAGTTTATAATAATATTTATAAGAAAAAAAAATAAATACAAAATATAAATAAATTAATATAAATTTCTAATTTAAATTATATATAGGTTGAACAGAATTAATTAACTTAATTTATATTTTCAGAAGATAACTAATCATAATTTAATAAATAATAATGTAATAAATAATTATAAATAATAATAATAAATAAGAATGAGTAAGAAAATAGAGAATTATTAAAAGAAATATCTAATTGAAAATATTAATAATTCAAATTAATAATATAAATACATATAGTAATCATCTGCATGATAATGTATCAAATCTAATGTATTAAATATATAATAATTATTTGTATATTTAGTATAAAATTAATTTTCTTAAAAATATAATATAAAGTTACAGATAATACAAAATAAAGATCTAAACTAAAAGAACTTAAAAGAAAAATAATCTAATTAAAACTATTATAAAGATATCATCTTTTTAGATTTTATTTGATTAACTAAAGATAAATCTTATTCTCAAAGCTTTTTTTTTTATACTCTGAATTATCTCTTTACTAATTTTTTTCTTATACTTTAAATTTAAAAATTTATTAATCTTCTTATTTTCTAATAATATAAGCTTAACTTCTTATAGACTTATACTAATATTATCTTTCTTATTAGAGTAATTCTTGATAGAAAATAGAATAAATAATTTGAAATTTATTAATAATGATAAACTAATTAGAGAATTATTAGTCTTATCTTCTTTAGAAATACTTTGATTTTACTTTTTGATTTTATTAATAGCTTGTTTTAGCTTAATAAATTTAGTTTTAAACTTAATATTTTCTTTAAATTAAATTAATAAAAATAAATAAAAAATATATTAATTTTCAAAATTATTTTAAAAAGTAATAATTATTTTAATATTTATTATTTTATTAATATATTTATATATATAAATATAAAAATATATAATTTTTTTATAAATACTAATTTAAAATTTTTATTATTATAAAATTTAATCAATATTTTTTTATATTTATAATATTATTAAAAAAATTCTAAAATTAATATTATATTTAATTATTTTTTTATATCTATAAAAATTATAAAAAAAAGATTTATAAATTTATATTATAAATAAAAAATAAATTAATAAACTTTAAGTTTGATATTCTTTTTTATTTATATATAAATTATACTTAAATTTTGATATTTAATAAAAAAAATAGTAAAATAATATTTCTTAAAAATATTACTTTAATATTTTGTAAGTATTATATAATTTAACTAATAATAAAAATAATTTTTAATAAATACTTATAATAAATTTCTAAATTTTGATTAATACCTTTGTTATAATTAAATATTTATATATAATTATATAATATATTCTCTTACTATTATATATTTAATATAAAATATAACTTTATTTTATATTTTAAATTTTAAAAATAAGATTTATTTTTCATAATTTAATTAATTATATAATTTTTTTAAAATCTTTTAAATTAAAATAAAATTATTAATTTCTTTTTTATTATTAATATAAAATTCAGTTAAATAATAATATTTATTATAATATATTTAATTAATTTAAAAATTATTAATTTAAATATTAATTTTTTATTTAGATTATTATTAAAATTGGCTTTTAAACTAGTTTAAACATATTTATTTAATGTTTATATAATTAAATTATTAATAAATTTTTGTTTAAACTATTCAAAATTATTCAAGAGTTAATTTGATTATTATATATATAATAATATTTAATTAATTTTTTAATTAAAGCTTAATTATTTAAAATTTTAAATTAAATAATAAAATATAAATTTAGTTTTTATAAATTTTTTATAAGTTTATAATTATTATAATTCAATTTTTTATAATTTAAATTTTATTATATAATAAAAAAATAATAAAATACCAAACTTTTAATTTATTATTTGAATTACTAATTTATTAAGAATTTATAATATAAAAAATATTTAATTTAATATTATATTTTTAATTAGTTTAAAAAGTTTAAATCAAAAAATTTAATATAAAAAGTTATAAATATTGATATTTACTATATTTAATATATTATTAAGTTTTATAATTATATAATATTTAACTGAATTTAATTCTTAATTTCTATAAATTTCTTAAGAATTTGTTTTATTTTATTAATAAGAATGATGTTATTATTAAGATTCTACTTGAGTTTCTATAATAAATCATATTTTTTATGTATAAAATATTTAAATATTTTAATTAGAATAAAAGTTTTTCAATATCAAATAATTATATATTTAAATAAATTCTTTACAAAGCTAAAAATTATTTATATAAATATATATATAGTAAACATCATAAATATTTGGAATTTTTGATATAATACATAGAATAATGAAAAATTGTCAAAATTACCTGATAATTTAGACACATCTTCTTTATAACCTGTAAAACAAGTTTGATTTAAATATTTTACAGAATTATTATCAATTATTATTAATTATTATTACACTTTTCTCAGTAAAATTAAAAAAAATAAGTCAGATCCAACAAAGATTGAGCTTATATTATTAAAAATAATATGAAGTAATCCTATTATTTTATTATGGATGAAATTGTTCATTATATTACAAAGAAGATATTTATAAATTTTAATAAAAAATCAATAAAGATATAAAGTTAGCTACATTTATGGTTGTTTTTAGTTTTTATAATTTAATGATATTTTTAAAATTATACCAATAACTTTGTTCTTCATATCAAAAAACATATATTTGAAAACTCACAAAATTCTATTCATTCTTTATAAAAATTCCGAATATTTATGACGATCACTGTAACTCAGCTCCAAGCTTATCGTTTATACATATATGGCTTAACAAAACTTGATTGGGCAAATTGCTATATTTTGACGACTGAATGTGATAAGTTGGAAGGCAATCAAATACGTTGTCACTCATTCCCTGAGTGCGTCAGTTAGTCTTGGCGAAGGCCGTCCGTGTGTATTCACGGAAGGGATTGTTTGTGTTACTTTTATCCTTTATGCAGAAAAAATTTTTCACGCGTCCCTTCCATCACATACGGGTTTTTTTGTTTGATTCTCTTTCAAATGTCCAAACCAACATCTCTGCTTCCTGCATCTTTGCGTCGCCAAAGAGTGATACTTCATATTGATCTTGGTTTGTAAATTTTTTAATGTGTAACGCTGTAAAATAAAACGCATTTATTTATCACATACATGTACTTTTAAGATTGTTTTTACGCACAAGTAGGTAAGTATACTTACATAAATTGTTTATTTCCTGGAAAGTGTTTTAACGTATACAAAAAAATTCTCATCGGACTATTATAATAATGATTAATAATAGAACAAGTTCGACTTGGAATTCCTTCAGAAGAACCGTTGGCCGTGCAACAATGGCAAGGCTTGATAGCAGGTAATTATTTCTATTACATGTATATATAAAAACCTGATGCCATTTACTTGATAATATAACTTGATAATATGCTTTATTAATAAATCAATTTATAGTCAACTACGCGGCACGCAAAGCCGGAATTCAGAGACACTGCACAGTTGAGGAAGCACGTGCAAAGTGTCCTAGTAAGAACCAATCCTTAACTTGCACCGTTATTATGATTAAAACTATAAAGATTTTTTCATACAATTATTATAATTGCTATCTTGTAAAAAGATCTGAGACTTGTCCATGTAGCCACATACGCCAACGGCGAATTGGAACCAAAATACCACCCTGATCCACATTATGCAACCCACAAAGTATCTCTTCAGCCATACAGACGTGCAAGTGCCAGGATCTTTGAGATATTTCAAAGATTTTGTCCGGATACAGTTCAACGTGCTAGTGTTGATGAAGCGTTTATTGATGTGACCGACCATGTGAATACGAAGTTATCGGAAAGGTTTTTTAGTTCGGCGGCACTATCTTTGTTTGTTGGTAGCGAGGATGATGGCGATTCTACCGAAAAGTCACCACCTGAAATTAATTGGGATGGGCTAGGCGTTGTGTATTCTTCGTCATCATCAACAACTCAAGATATCGTCGCGTCATCTGCTGATGATAACATCGAGGATCAGGAAAGGGCATCTTTGTCATCTTCTTGGGATGACTGGCAACTCGTAGTTGCAGCTGAATTGTCATCAGAGATTAGAGCAACCGTTTTCAAAGAACTAGGTTATACATGCTCATCTGGTAAAGTCTCTTTTAACTAACTAAATTTTATACTGTAAATAATTAAATGTGTATATTAATTTAGGTATTGCGCATAACAAGACGTTAGCAAAACTATGTTCGGCACTAAATAAACCGAATAACCAGGTCTATTTTATAGCTTATTCCATTCGATTCATGTTATACTCTATCGCAGTATTTAAAAAATATTAAAAAATTTCAATTATAGACCATTCTAAGAAACAGTGAAACAATGAATTTTATGCAAACCATTCCTTTTCATAAAATTCGTAACCTTGGCGGGAAATTAGGAACAGAAGTTGAGAATGTATTGAAAATTGAGACTGCTGGAGATTTATGGTAATTTATTTATTGTATCGTTATCTAACTATGTTTACGCATCGATATTTAATGCAACCTCTCTTAGGAAATTTTCAATAGAAGAGTTGCAATCTAAATTTGGAATGGCCACGGGGATTTGGTTGTATAATATATGTAGGGGCATAGATACAGAAGAAGGTATAATAACTAACTTCGAATTTATTTGCTTATCTTTAAATTAATTGAACTATTTGTAAATGTTAATATTAAAAAAAATGTCTCTATTGTCGAAAAGTAACCCAAAGAAATATCTTAAAATCAATGATGGCCTCGAAATCATTTCGACCGCCAGTAACGAAAATGTCACAGATTGAGCACTGGGTAAATATTTTGGGCGTCGAATTGTACACTAGAGTTAAAGATGATTATGAAATTAATCAACGATGGCCGAAAAATTTGTTGGTAAGCTTTTTTATATTCTTGTTCCCTAAATAAATGCTACTTCACGATGATTAAGAAAATTAATTGTTTTAATATTACTTTTATTATTACTAGGTTCATTACAAATGCAGCACACATCCAACTCCCCGATCCAAATCTTCATTTTTTCCACATCGCATAAGTCTGACCTCCCCAGACGTCATCTCGAGAAAACTATTAACACTGTTCAAAAACTCAGATTACGAATTTCCTTGTTCTAATTTGTCAGTTGGTGCTACCGGTTTAACAAAGGACGATAGTTTGGGCGTTATGGATATCTCAAAGTTCTTTTTGAAGCGTAACGTTAACTCTGAATCCGGAGGTGGTGATGGCGTGGTAAATCCTTGCAATAATCTTGCCGGAGAAGTTTTGATAAAAAGCTCCTCAGATGAAAACACGGGTAATAAATTTCTTCCTACGGCAGAAAATGTTAATAAGTATGAGATATCCGAAAATCATAACAATACTGTTAACACTCCAACAGCAACCACAAGTTCAAATCAGAAAAATATAAATAAAACGATAGTTAAGAAAGCCGCCTCTGCCAAAAAACCTGTTTCGAGAAATTCTGCTGACATAGGAATACTAAAATTTTTCGACAATGCAACGGCTCCTCGCGAAATAAAACCTGCTGCCGATGATTCTCATATGAAAAAGATTGTACCCGTTACACTATTAGATAAATCTATTAATACTATTCTTACTGGCAATAATGCTGCTGCTGCCGAATCATCATCTTCATTGTCAACACAATGCCAAAAATGTGATCAAATGATTTTCCCGCATCAGATATCTGAGCACGAGGACTACCATCTCGCACTCGACTTACAACGCGAATATCGTAGTATTGATCGAAAAAGAAATCAGAAACAAGTAATGAAGGAAGAACGGAAAAAACGACGGAAAGTAGAATTGGCAGACTTTTTTGAGACAAAGGAAAGAAAATAATTCTGCCAGTTTTAGTTCAAGTTCCCATCTTATTAGACGTGAATAATCTGGCTTAAAAATAAAAATATTCTATAACTATTCTGTCCGAAAAAAATGCTCAATGTTTTATCAAGCTCAAAGATTTTTTGAATAAGTTAGCCAGTTATTCACATTAATAAATGTTTTTGAACTGTCAACCCCCGATAGGGAATCGTTAAAGCCGTTTATTTGCATAATTTGTTTGATAATGTAGATAAAATTTTAATTCAAAATAATGTTTCATTAGGTTAGAATTAGGGTTAGGATTAAAATTAAAAGTTCTGTTCTAAAAGTTTCATGCTCAAAAATTTATAAAGGGAGGGGGGTGGGTCACGGATACCCGATTTACTAATCTTTATATAAAACTTAATAAATGTATGATCTTCTGAGAACCTTTAAAAGTATGACGATAACGATAAAAGAACATATATTTTCCAAACAATTCAATCCAAAACTATTTATTTCATGCTAGGAGAGCAGGTCCTGAAGAAGTATCAGTTCAAGAAATCTTTTTGATATAATTTACCATTCATAATTTCTATAAAAGTTTTAAATCTAATAATTTTCTTCATGGTATTTACTTAAAATGTAAAGAAAATTATCAAAACAATTAAAAATTCCAATTAAGAAATAGATAGAAAGATAAGTTATTGTAATTTTATAATAATAAACTAATAGTTTAAGTGATTATTCATATTAATTTTCTCTGTGTGAATTATTTTCTGAGTTGATACTGTGTTATTATGTGTTTTACTCTTTGTTTAATTTTTAAATTTTATTTAAAAACTTATTTTTCAAGAATATAAATATTATATCAACTTGAAAATATTATCATAAGTAATAATTTCAACTTGATGATAATTAAATTATTATATTATTAAATAAAGCTTTACAATTCTGGTCAAAAGTAATAATGATGAACATTTTTATCTATATTTTAACAATAAAACATCCAAAACTCATGAAACTTTGTAAATATATTCTTTAGAATATTATGAACAAGGTTCTCTAATAGCATAATGCATGTTAGCTTAATAAAATTTTGTGAAATTTTGTGTCAAATGTGATGGATTAGGTATTTATATGAAATAACTTTGAAAAAAAATTATTTGAAAATATTTTTAATAAGTAATTTTGAAAATATTTTTGTAAAAATATAT